GCAGGATGCCCTTATAAGAGCAAACTCGAGCTCCCAGTCATAAACGAAACCCTTCTCTTTCATTTACTCATCTGACCTGGCAGTGCTGGGACTGATAATGCTGGTTTCCTTTTAAGCAGAGGCCAGTCATAAATAAAATAAACCAGGCATGCTTTGTGTTTGCACTCCTTGCCTTTCATCCCCGCTCCTCAAAGCCGCGGAAGGGAAGTCCTGAGCGGGGAGCAGGAGCTGGGCTGGGGACAGCAGCAGCTCCAGCCTTGGCCTCAGCTGCACTTTGTGGGTTCATGGCCCTGTGCAGGGGTGGGATCACCTTCCCCTTCCCACCAGCGTGGGGAAAGAGCAGTGGGAGGCAGAGACTTCACTTTTCAATGAATCGCATTCACGGCACTGTCCGGGACAGAACCAGGCTCCTTTTCTTACCATCCACAAGAATAAAAGCAGGATCCCATAGCCAGCAGCTACCCAGACAGCTGCTGGGGGAGAGAACATGCCCTTCCCTTCCCCAGCACCAGTGCCTGACTGGGAGGGTGATGGGACATGCTAACAGGAGGCCAAAGAATGGAAAGTCTGACAAACAGTGGTTCCCAGAAGCTGCCAGCACTGAGGCTGCCCTCGTTAGCAGGGCTGGCCCCAAATGAGGGGCAGGAGGCTCAGCTGGAGCCCAGCAGCGTGTGCCAGGGTGTCAGCTTCCCCTGTTTCTCTTGCCACCTTTCAGGGTGTGATGTTTTCCTTCGGTGCTCTCTGATGAGCTGCCTGGGGATGCTTGGGCTGAGCAGCTGCAAGGGGCTCCTGCCAGAGAGCCTGGAGTCTCCTTACAGCAGGGATGAGAGCTGCAGGCTGCAGCACTGACCCCTGTCAGAGCAGCAGCAGGTGCTACATCAGACTCTTCCAGAGTTAGAGGAGAGTTAGAGTTAGAACCATGTGTGAATTTTGTTATGATTTACCTCGGGGATTTGCCTGCACTCTCCAGCCCTCTCCTGGCCAGTTCCATAAAGCACAGCAGTGTGAGATCACAGAAACTGAGAGATACCACGGTCTGTGGCACCAAGGTTTCACTCACAAAGGTTTTATAGGTATTTTTTCTCCCATACTAAGCCTGGAGGAGCATTCACAGCATCCAGCCCTGACACAGCACTGACATGGCCAGTTCCTTGTAGACAGCAATGTTGGAGAGAGATCCCAAGTTATTGCAGAGCCATAGATCTGTGGGAAAGGGGACGGGGGAGAGCCAGCAAAGCAACATCCCAAACCCTTCCCGGGGTCACACATTCCTAAATCAGCATGGCCAAGCACAGGCTGACCCCTGTTTGCACAGGGGAGTTCTAGGAATTCCCTCAAGAAATGAAATGGCTGCAGAGGAGGTGTAAATGCTGCCAGGCAGCAGATCAGCAAGGCTGGAGGAGCCTTGCACAGAGGCGTGCTCTGGGGAAATCACAGCCCCTGATTTGGTCTGGATTTGGGGTGACCCAGCCTCACCCTTTGAGAAGGAGCTGAGCCTGCCTGAACACAACCTGCTCTGCAGTGCCCAGGCCTTACCCCCATCCATGATATCACTAACATCATCATTATAAACTGAACACACTTATTTAGCTTGCAGACCCTCCTTTCCTACAGGACAGCAATTCTGCTTGGTTCTGCCCTCTATCACTGTGAGTATCTCAAAAGCAACCCTTTCTCCCTGCAGTCCCTTGCAGGCAGCAGAAATGAGCAGGAAGTGATGATTTGGGGGCTGAAAACACAATATTGGGGTCAGGCCATAAGAAGGGGAAAGATGCAGCTGGGCAGATTGGAGACACCAATGTCCATCATCCTTCAGCCACCCAAGGAGAGACACTGGGATGTCCTGTCCCTGTCCCTGTCCTTCCAGCACCACCTGGGCACCTCTGCCGCTGCTCAGGGCTCCCTTGCACGACCCAATGCTGCCATCTGTAGCACAGAGCTCTGCTCCTGCTCCCAGCACAGTGCCTGCAGACACCAGGGCAGAGCTCAGCTTCACAAGGCTTGGCTTTGTGAGAGTCCACATGGGCAAATCCTGGCCTGGGATTTGGCTTTTTCAGTCCCAAGAGAGGCTGTTGGCTTCTGTGTCTGCTGAATTGCATTTTTAGTTGTCTGCCAAGGGCACCAGAGCCTGGAATTGTAGATATCGTTCTGCTTATCTGCTGGAAATAAAACAAACATTAAATAATACCCAGTGCTGTGCCCTATACATTAAAGGGGTTTTAGTCCACTAAAGCCATGGATTCCTGTAGGACCAGCCAAGGACCATCAGAGCCTCCCATGCATGCAGAGATAGGCACAGTGCTTCATGGTTTTAAGACGTTAACACTGTGGGAAGGTGGGGGACATGCACAATCATCCCTTCTTTCCCCAGCTTATGAAAACACCTCATCACTGAAATTCATTTCAACGTTGCTCATGTCTTGGTGCATTTCCATGTCAGGAAATATTGGACAAAGGCTCGCTCACCCTGCTCCCAAATCCCTGCATTGTCCTCAGCAGGGAAGGGAAATGCAGAACCGGGGCCTGCTGAGCTCAGCACAGCAGCATCCCGGGGCACCACGAGGGGGAAACGTGGCTGTGACAAAGCTGGCATCAGCTCATTTCAGGCCAGGCTGTGACTCACAAAGAGAGAAAAAAGGAAACAGGGAGAAAAAGCGATCTCTGATGGTCAGGGTGTAGCTGAGCCCCTGTCGGGGGCACCGTTCCTCCTCTGCCACCTCCCTTCTCTGGGGACCTGGAGGTGACTGCTGGTATCTCCCTCAGCTTTGGGAGTCCCCATCCTTCCCTCCTGCCTCAGACACATCTGACCCCTCTGGACCGCACGGCTCCATCCTGTCCGACCGCACGGCTCCCGATCCAGCCCGGCGGGGCCGGATTGACCCGCACGCCTGACCGGGCTGGCCCCGCCGCGCTCAGCGGGATTCCTGCTCCCCATCCCGGCTCTGCCAGCACAGCTCAGCCCCCTGGTGATGCCAGCCCCCGCACACGTGGGCTCCTGGCCAGCAGCATCCATAAAAACCCCTCTGTCCGTGCCTGGGCTGGGCTGCGGGGCTGGAGAGCGATGGCACTGCGGGTGAGCATGGGGACAGGGCGGGGTGACAGCAAGGGTGGCATTTGCAGGGGTCCCCAGCACGAGGTGAGAGCTGAGTGACTCTGACTCCATGTTCTTAGAAGGCTAATTCATTATTATATGTAAATATATTATATTATATTATATTATATTATATTATATTATATTATATTATATTATATTATATTATATTATATTATATTATATTATATTATATTATATTATATCGTATTATATCGTATTATATCGTATTATATCGTATTATATTATGTTATATTATATTATAGAATGCTATACTAAAACTATACTAAAAGAGAAAGGATACAGACAGGGGAATGATAAAGAATGATAAAGAAATAATATAAAAAAAAATAACAAGAATGATAAAGAAAAACTTGTGATTCACCTCAACACAGCTGGATGTGATTGGTCATTAAGTTAAAAAAATTCTCATGAAACCAATCAAGCAATGACCAGTTGGTAAACAATTCATTAAGTTAAAACAATTCCCATGAAACCAATCAATGACCAGGTGGTAAACAATCTCCAGACCACGTTCCAAAGCAGCAAACACAGGAGAAGCAGATAAGATAATTATTGTTTTCATTTCTCTCTGAGGCTTCTCAGCTTCCCCAGAGAAGAAATGCTGGTGAAGGATTGGAGATTTTTCCAGAAAATATGACAGTGACAAGCATGGGAATGACAGTGGGTAAAGGAAAGTGGAAGAGAAGGGCCAGACAGGTAGAAATCCTGAATAACACAGGGATTATTGCTCCTCTCTGTCAATCTGGTCCAGGCTACTGCAAAAGTGAGTTTTGTGATGCTCAGTAACGGGCAATTGGACAGATTTTCATCCAGTAGCAGAGGGAACAGCTCTTTGCTGTGTGTGCTGTGTCTCTTGCTGGGGTTGGTGCAATGATTACACATTAAAGGTCAAGGCCAGGTGAACCTGGGTGCTGCCAGGTGCTCTTGGAATCCAGAGCTCATCAGCTCTAGCAGCTTCTGTGCCTCACAGGGGTGAACACTGGTCAGAGCTTTTCAGTGTGTGGGGTCCCAAAGCTGCCCTCCAGGCATGCAGGTATGAGGTTGGTCATTGCCAATTCCTGCCTAAATGTCTCAGCTCCTGCCCAAAAACATGTATATCCCAAAAAAGCATTGGAAATAGAACTCGTGACAGAGAAAGAAACAGGGGAGTTGAAGTCCTGAGCTGTAGGAAGGAGAAACAGGCACACAACTGGCAGTGGAGATGTCAAGGCTGGGGAAATTTTCCTAGTGTGAGCAATAAGTTTGTGAGAGGGGATGCTCAGAAATGCAAGATCATTAGAGTGCCAAAGACAAAAAAAAGTGGGGTGAAATGGCAAGAACTTCTTATTGAAATGAGTTATTTAATAAAACTATGAATTATTCAAAAAGGAACATTTTCCAGCTCATTTTATGCAAATTTAACCTTGGAGATGGGGAGCTCAGGCAGGAACTTTTGGGAAGAATCAGCCATGTAACACTGGATGAGCTCAGACTGGATGTCACTTTACACCTGTTCCTCTGCTTCAAAGCATCACAGAGTTTTCTGCTTCAGATTTTTGTATTGCTCGGGTGCAGAGAGAAGCAGAACATCTTTGTGTCCTGACAACAATGAAGGCATTCAAGTTCTTCTTTTATTTTTTGCTTTCTGATCCCGCTCAGCTCTTTACAAAAGACCTCGGGGACAGCAAATCCCACCTCATCAACTGGGTGTCATAGAGACTTGATTTCTTATCAGTTTGGAGTCTCTGAGATTATTTAGGAGTGAGAAAAAGACTGGGATAGAGAATGTGCTTGTGTGGGAAGGGGAGAGAAAGAAGATAACGATGAAAATGGGAGAAAGAAGTGTCAGGGCTGAGTGGGGCAGTGCAGCTCTGCCACCTGGCTGTGTCCTGCTCCTTGTCTGCAGTTTGAGGCCGTGCATCCAGAGGGAATCTGCCCTGGATGGAGCATCGTGGTCAAGGGTGAGACCAGTTCCACTTCAGGCATGTAAGGAATGCTCTGCTCCCAGCTCCCCTGGCTCACAGGGGCCAGAAGCATTGTTCCCAACTCTCCATCCCTTTTCTCTCTCTGTCCTAGGTTTGAGGTTAATTTGCTCTGTGATCCCGGAGACCAAATCGCTCTCCACTTTAACCCTCGCCTCTCCATCTCCAGAATTGTCTGCAACTCCTTCCTCAACAGCCACTGGGGGCAGGAAGAGGTTAACAGCACCTTTCCCTTCAAAGCAAAGGAGCCCTTCCAGGTAACTCTGTCCCCCCACAGGTCTCCTCAGGTGTAACAGGAATAACCCAGCCAATACTGGGGTGCTCCCCATTGCCTTTCCTGCCAACACCATACCCAGCAACATCCCCTCTCTGGCTTTGTCTCCTGTTGGTAATCCCGTTAAAACCTGGTGATTTATACCCAGCTCTGGCACAGCCGTGCAGAGCTCCAGCAGTAATCCCTGGATGCAGCATTTGTTTTCAATTTGGGCTTTGCATTGCCACCAGATTTTGTTATCATGAAAGGAAAAACTCAGTTATTCCCTCTTTTTGCCCAGAGTGGGCTGAGCAGTGTATGTGTCAGCTCTGGCAGGATTTGAGGTGGGTGGACAGATCCAGCAGCTCCCTGATGTGATGGAAGCAAGGTCCAGTAAGGCCACATGAACATAACACAGTCTCTCTTTCAGGTTGAAATCTACTCTGACCAGGACTATTTCCACGTTTTCATCAATGAAAACAAAGTCCTGCAGTACAAGCATCGGCAGAAGAATCTCTCATCCATCACCAAGCTGCAGATTCTGGATGATATTGACATTTCTTCAGTGGAAATCACCAAACGAGCTCTTTACTAGAGACCAGACTCTAGTCAAGGGACTCTCTTACTCTTGGGACCCTCCCACAGACCATTCCCCCTCGAGCTGCTGATTCAGCCAAGGATCATTTCCTCCCCATTTCCACATGCCACCACCAACCAGGGAGATGGCCATGTGTCCTCAGAGTGGAAGGGATGGTCATTCCCATCACCAGCCACATTGCTGGCCATAGCCCAGCCCTTCAAAGACCTTCTGCCCCTACACCTTAGGGTGCACAACAGGCTCTGTAGGTCTGATCATCTTTGCTGCACATCAAAATCTGTCTTCAGGAGTCTGGACACCTCAATGTTACCTTAGAAATTGTGTTTGCCCAAGAGTAGGGTGTGCATGAGCACCAGTCCTCAGCTGGGCACGTGGGGAATGTGGATGTTAGGGGTGGAAAGGGATGTTTCTTTCCAGGAGCTGGGTAAGAATGATACCAGATTTGCCAATAAAATCAACCAAGGGAATCCCTGCTGAGACATCCCTCCCGGGGCAGATCAACCTCATCATTCCTTCCCTGCCAATCCAGGCACCTGGCATGACCAATGGGTTGGAGGACACTGTTGAGGTCTGTGTGATTTTGGCTCTGGGAAAATACTGCTTTTTGTTTTGAGGGCTAATGCAAGGTGAAGGTCCCTGGCATGCAGAACAGGGTGATCAGATTCAACTTGCCAGGTGTTGCCAGGAATTCCCTTCACCAGCTGGGAGGTGTTTGCTCAGCTCTGCCCCTGCCAACTCCAGGCTTCCCAGACAGACCCCAGAGTGATGCTGTGTGTCAGAGGAGGGCAAGAGCTGGGGGAGGCACATGAAAGCACATGGCTCCTCCACCGTGCACCAGGAATGCAGCTGGACTCCAAACAAAAGGAACTGAGTGAATCTAGAAATTTTGATAAGCTTGGAATGAACAGAGTGCCTGGGGATGTGCATGGGTAGCCTCTGGCTTTTCTCTGCTTTATTGTTTTCTTTTCTCCCCCTTTTTAGTTGTCTTTCAGAACAACCCACTCATCCCTTGCACCCTCTTCCCTTTTCCAGCCTCTTCCTTGGAGCACAACGTATCTGTGACTCCTTGAGCAGGCCACAGCAGAGTAAAAGTTGTTATTTTTACTTTGTTTTAATTACACGCATCATAAACAGCGCAATGTCACAGTGTTAAATCTGAACAGGAACTTATTCCAAAAATGCAATTACAGCTGCCCTCCAATCACTCCTTTATTCCTCACATATAAGACAGAACACATTCCTGATGGAAAGGGCAAAGATGGTCCTGCCTTGCCAGTCCTTTTCACTGAGGAGAAATCACTTACTAAGAAGTCAGCCCTGATCCATCCTTGCCTTTGGATGAGATCTCTGAAGGTTGCAGCCTTGCTCCAGCCTTTTCTCAGTGCTCAAATTGGCCATTCCCAACACTTCCTGCTATTTACAGTTTCGAGGACTTGTGAGGAAGAGGTGGGTGTAGAAAACCACAACACATGATGCCATAAACCTGACATTCATGAACCTGTTAAGAAGTTTGCAGTGTTTTTCCAGACTGTCAAGAGCACTAATGGGAAACCATCCTGTTCTTGTAGCAAAGGGCTCATGGGGAACACAAAATGGTGCCAAATGGTACCATTTTCCCTCCAAAAAGAACAGAAAACAGGTTTTGGAAATGGCAGTGGTCTGAATGGCAAGTCAGGAAAGTTGGAGATGGTGAGGCTTCCTCTGGCCTGGAATAAATCCATCACCACTGGGACAAGAGAGTCGACCCAAATTCTGGGCGTTATGGTATAACCCAAGGCTTCAACACACTTTGCTCTCGTGGCCATGCCTTCAGCAAAACAGGCACAAAGCCAGACAAAGCCAGGCCTGCAGGGATCTCTGTGTCATCCATCTGATAATGCTGAGCAGCATTTGAAAGAAATTGTCCTTTCTGTTTGTGCTTTTTTTGGGTGCTGATAAAGACAGATCATTTTTCAGGGAGGAAAAGTGATGAAATGATTTATAAGGGTAATACTTTGTACTTATATGGCCACCAGCTGCATCCACAGCCCCTGCTGCAGAAACACCCCACGATTTCATTGTTCCCCAGAAAAAACCACAGACAAGGAGGGCAAAAACATTTCAAGTACAAATAAATAAAGAGATGCCACAAAAATCAGGCAGAGACAGAGATAATGGCCTGACTCCTGGACACATCCCCCCCAGCTCCTGCCAGCAGCTGATCTCACTCCTTTGCCATCTGCACCAAGAGCCCAATCTCTCCTGACACATCCCCAGCTCTGCTGCTGCCTTCAGGGCTTTATCTGCTGCCTCCTCCAGCCAAAACACAGCCAAGGGTGAAGGGGGCAGAAGAGCAAGAGAGGTCTGGGAATCTACAGAGCCCTGCTGGAAGCAGAACTTCAGGGCTGGCTGTTTAGAGCTGTTTTGCAGAGTTTTGTGGAGAATGAGTTGCCCTCCAAGTCTGTGACCCTCATCTGTCCCGTGAGGGAAAACTCCAGAAAAAAATTAAGCCTTGCAATTAAAATGGGGAATTAAACTCTCTGGAGCAGGGCTGGCACACCAGGCTTGCAGGGAGGCATCATGTGCTGGCACTGAGGGGATCAAAGGGGGCAAATTAATCCTTTTCCACATTTCTATCAGCTTTCCTGTCCATGACCTGGGGGGAGAACTGATAGAGACAATAAATGAAGACAATAAATGAAGACAATAAATGAAGACAATAAATGAAGACAAGCTCCTGCCCGGGGATTTTGAAGGGGAAGGGGCTGCAGCAGCTGGGGGTGCAGCACTGGAGGATCCCTCACCAGAATTTCACTGCCCAGCCTCAAGGTCAAGCTCTGTAGGAATTTGCAGGGAACCCTGACATGGGAAGAGATGAGAATCTTGACTCCATGTTTCAGAAGGCTGATTTATTATTTTATGATATATATTATGTTAAAAGAAAATGATATATTAAGACTAAGCTAAAAGAATAGAAGAAAGGATTTCATTAGAAGGCTTGCAAGGAATAGAAAGAAATGGAATGATAATAAAGCCTTGTGACTGACCAGAGTCTGAGACAGCTGGACTGTGATTGGCCATTAATTAGAAACAACCACGTGAGACCAATCACAGATCCACCTGTTGCATTCCACAGCAGCAGATAATTATTGTTTGCATTTTGTTTCTGAGGCCTCTCAGCTTCTCAGGAGAGAAGATCCTAACAAAAGGATTTTTCATAAAACATGTCTGTGACAAAGCTCTGCATTTTTGCTGTGGCCAAACTCTGCAGAGGATCCAGCTGGAATGTTCCAGAGAGAACATTGCTGTGGGATGGGGTAGGGGCTGTCCTAGTCAGGAGCTGCAGCTAAAGCAGCAGTTGCTGCTTGTGTGGCTCACACAGACCAGGAAAGGATACCTGGGAAAGAGGGAAGTGTCTCAGGAGGCAAAAGTGACAGAAGTGATGACTCCCACATGGGCTCTCCCTTTCCCACCAGTTCTCCTCATTTGGAGTGGATCTGCAGAGCTCAGAAACGCTCTGGTTCATCCCCAGATCAACAGGGGGAAAGTCAGGCTCATAATTCTTCATGCTTGAGCTGTGCCAGAGCTCCAAGGGCTCAGGGCCCCTCTGGCAGTTTCTCAGATCTCCTGTGGAGCACCTGCTGATGCATGACCAGAGCTGCTCCTGGGTGTCCCTGACAGCCCTGGCAATCCCCACACACCCCAGCAATTCCCCCACAGGCTGCTGAGCAAACCCTCCTGAGCCTCAGTCACACCTCACCAGCACAGCAGCAGCCTGGGGACATGACTGGGCTGACTGACACCAGCCCTGCCAGCCTCAGCAAGTGACAATTAATACAATTAACATCAGCCTGGGCCCTGCCTGGAGGCAGGAAATGGGGGAGGAAAGGGCAAGGACTTGTTGCCAATGCAGTGACAAAAACTTTCAGGAAAGTTCTAAAAAAGAAGAAAGTCACACAGGCTGCATCCGCCCCATACTCACTTTGCAACTTGGTACATCTTCTTTCAACCTCTGTTTTCTTTCTTTTCCATCCCTGCAGAAAAAAAACCCCCAAACCTACCAAATTTGATGCTGGGTGTTTAGCTACTTCCTCAGTGCTAGAAAGCAGCTCTGGTGAAGAAAGGCAGGAGGAGGGCAATTCTTTAACATTTAATTTAAAATTCCCTTTCTCCCCCTACTTTGATGCTCCCCTGAACATCTCCTGGTGGAAACAGCAGCACAGACCTTCTCCTCACTCACACTAAGCAGCTGTGCTGTGGCACAGCTCAGTGACCCTGGCCCCTTGTCTGTGGCATCTCCAATTTCCCCCATGCCCCAAGGGCTGTTTTCCCAGCACAGAAACACCTGCCAGAAGTGCAGAGCTTATCAGCAGTGACTTTCTGCACTGCATCTCTGAGTCTCTGTCTAAGAGGTTGCTTATTCAACCCTTGTGGGCTGTCCAACTCCTTAAATGCTCAGCAGTCACAGGTGTTTGCTGGCAGGACTGAGAAACACAGATGGGAAAACGTTCAGCCTTTTTCTGGAGAGTGTGAGGAAAGTAAAACAAGAGGAAAGGAGCAGCAGCTCTGAGTTCTGGTGGGGAAAGGGAATTTTTGAGGCTACAGGCAGCCCCAGAATGCAGCTAGAAGAGCCTCTGCAGGAAGGCAGAGGGGTGTTTCTTGCATTGCAATTAAAGAGAGGTTTGTAAAGCCATTTTAACTCAGCATCTCCATCCAGAGCCAGTTCAGGCAGGAAAGCACACCTCCCAGCCCTGATTTTGTATGCATGGTGGCAGGTACCAGCTCCAGACATGAAAGCCTGGAGAGGGATTATTTTCTGAAAGAAAGGCTCTGGTCTAGAAGTTGAAGAATTGGAAGCTGATGGTATCACTTTATTTGGCAGCTGAGTTATTGTGCATCAATACTGCCTGAGGAAAGCGTGACAGAAATTAGCCTGATGCCCAGATTTGCTGGTCCTGCAGTCCCACAGTCTGTCCAAGACCCTCTTGCCAAGGCCAGATGCAATTTATCATGTTATT